GAAACTCAGGGCACACTAGAATAATATGTCCACTTCTTTTGTCATCAAGTAACCATTGATGAGGAACCGATGTACTTGTTGTTTATCAAATAATAATTCTTGTAGTTTAATTTACATTTACTTATAGTTAATTTCATTTAATAACCACTGATGACGATTAAAAAACAATACAAGAAAACGAGATTCGACGTTGGCGTTATATGCGATTATAATAAAAGAGATAATAAGTGATAAACTTAAGAAAGTTATCGAACACAATTATTAATTTTATCAAACTAATAGTAAGTTGGTATTTGAATATAATTTTAAATACAACAAACTTACAATAAGTATTAAATGGTAAATAATAACAAAATTACAATAACTGGTATTAAATGGTAATAAACAAAATTAACAAAATAAATTAACAAAAATTCCAACAAAATTAACAAAATAAATTAAGTATTAAATGATAAATAATAAAAAAATACAATAAAGAAAGTCTAATAAACAGTAAATACAAATATAATAAAATATAAAAAACTATCGATGTCTACGGTGCGATTGTGTTCCGCAGTACGGTGGTTGTCTGTCTCGAGGAGGATTTCTTCATATAACTGGGTCTGACTCCTCACTGTCATCATCATCACCATCATCATCATTGTCGTTGTCGTTGTCGTCATGAGTAGATACATTTTATTGATGAGGAATTGATGACGATCTAGCACCTCCATAGAATAAGGACCCTAGAGGTGTATGACTGACTAACCCACCGCTCATAGAAAACTGAGAAAACTCAGAAAACACAGACATCGATGAATGAGAAAACTGTACAGGAGGTGTCTGTGCGACGACCATCGGTGATGAGGCTGCACCCGCCAAATAATCAGTATATGAACCCCAAGTCGGATATGCAAACATAGACCCATAATATCCTCAAAGAGGGGTCTTATAACTCCATGTCGGTGGCGACGATGACATCTGGTAAGGCAAAGGCGGTGGTGACATCAGATATGGTTGCTGGTTGTACGTCGCTGCAAATGGTGATTGCTGTGAAGGTTCTGGTGGTGCAGTTGCCGACGAACCAGAAGCACATGCTCTCCGTCCACGAGTCAGGGGATGATGGAATTGTGACGGTGCACATCTTTGTCGACGTCGATGAATGCTCCGTCCTCGTACATTATCGGAAAGTAGAAATTGTTTCTCATTATTGTTGAACCACTCATAATAATCATCTACAACCGTCAAGTGGTCAACATAAATGGGCTCTCTATGGGGAATGCGCCAATGTCGATCCTCCCACATCATGACCCACTTATAATGCTTCACCAGCCAATCTATATTCTTCTTGCCGCGTCGATCTGTGTGATGCAACTGGTTCATATTTCGAGGTGCTTCCGAAATTGGTTGTACAAAACCAAATAGCCGGAGCAAGCGATCAGTGGGGTACCACTCGACAATCGTACAACAGATCAGAGGAACCACTGCCATCCAAACATCTGATGGGCCCCTTAACTCCGGTGGGATACACATCCTCATATCATCATTAGAATATGGAGTCATTCAAACTAAAACAAAAATATATAATTCTTATCAAAATAATAATTTAATTATATAACTATAATACAAAATAGATTTTAAAGCATTAAAATACATACCTTTGTGCCAACCTTCTGATCGATTACCAGTCTGATTATTTTTAATTCATCAGGTAGATCCCGATGATTTTTCCTGTCAATAGACCACCTATTCAAGGAAATAATTTTTATTATACACTGGATAAAATGATTAATATACTAAATCAGTTTTATAGTTACTCAATAGTAGCGGAAATACGAACGTGTTCTTCACAACAGGACATAAAAAGGGCAAGCGATACCATGCCCAATAATGCAACAGAAAGAAACATCCGTCGATAGCATAGATAAAATTTCGACCATCGTTAAAATTTCGAGGGACACCTCATAGATAATCCTGACACAAAGTAGTCCAATTATCGTGCACCATCCCTGAAATCACATCTCCATCCACCAGAAGTCCCAAGTGCATAGAAACATCTTCAAGCGTAATCGTGCAGTCTCCGCACGGAAAATGGAATGTATGAGTCTCCGACCTCCACTGCTCCACTAATGCAGAAATCAGATTTGGTTCTATCCTACAATGGCATTCATATCTAGCTATGTGACCAAATCCAGCCTTGACTAAATACGACCAGACACGGGTTGGTATCGCTAACTTAAGGTTATGGATAAAAGAATCTAATATACGGTCGCTCTCCTAAAAATATTAATAATTACAAAAAATAATTTATAAACTAATAAACAAAAATCAAATAAATAAATTATTACTAATAATTTAAATTAAATTAAAATGTAAAAATGTTACCGTATCAGTAAAATGTCGAGATATATGATTTACATCCAAATGAAGCAAATCGCCTTCCATTTTATAATTGCAAAAAAATTAATTAAATAAAATATTTAAAAAATTAAAAAATTAAATAAAATACTAATAAAATATTAAATATAATAAAATATACCTTAAGTTGAGAGGATTTGAGAGAAGTTGAAAGGATTTGAGAGGTTTTGGTGTGATGAAAATAATTGAGAATAAATATATTTATAGGGGTGGGATGTGGGTGTGAATGATCAGGTGGTTGCCGAAATTAAATGGAAGGCACGACCCATGCATCGTGCTATCCTGACGCGTGTCAGATTGTCAGGAAGGTGCAACCCATGCACAGCACTATACACTTACGTGTTAGAAGGCGCGGCCATGCACCGCGCCTTACCCATCGTAGCGCTATGTAGGGGTGTAAACGAGCCGAGTCGAGCTCAAGTATTGCTGGGCTTGACTCAACTTGAAAACTCTGAAATGGAGCTCGACTCGAAAACTCGCGAGCTTAAAATTTTTAAGCTTGAATCGAACTCAAAATCCTGAACTGAAGCTTGTGAAAAGCTCGAAAAGGCTCGAAATGAAGAAAAAAATTCTTAAACTTAACAAGATTGAATCCTCAAACTCGAACCTGAACCTTAAATAAATAAAAGTCTTATTGTATTTTTTAAAAAAAATCAACACATAAATATTAATATTATTTATATATATATATTTTTAAAAATCTTAATATATTATATTTTCGAGCTGCTCACGAGCTTTTCGAGTCGAGTATCAAGTAGCTCGTTTCATCTTTTTAAGAATTCGAGTTGAGCTCGAGTCCATTCGATCCGAGTATTTATCAAGCCTTGACCGAGTCGATCTTTAGTAGCTCATAATCTGTCTCGTCTCATTTAAAGCCCTAACGCTATGCCAGTATAAGGCGTGGCGCATGGGCCGCGCCTTGCCCCACATGGCGCCACATCAGCGTAAGGCGTAGTGCATGGGTCGCGCCTTTCTAGGGGTGTTCAAATTTTTGAACTAATTCGGTTATCCGACCGAACCAAATTAGTTTGGTTAATTTGGTCGGCCATCGAATTAGTTCGGTCAGTTAACAGTTAATGATTTCTTGGATATTCGGTTAACGGTTAATTTGGTTCGATATCGGTTAATTAACCGAATTAACCCTTAAATATTTTTTAATATTTTTTTCACCCTATAATATGCTGCCCCCCACTTCCTTTATGCTCCTCGGTTATCAATTCTTTTTTGCCTTGATTTGTGTAAGGTATGGGCACGAGATGGGCACATGGAGCATGGGCGAGGCAGCAACATAGGGCTACGCTTTTGAGGGGTTGAGAAGGATGGAGCATGGACAAAAGTGTATACTGTTGTTTGTTGTTTCAAAGTATCAATTTTAAGGTATTTTATTTGCACTGGAAGAATGTTTTCATATGTTTGTCTTTTGTGTTATAAGTATCATGGAGGAACAAATTTTGGCCGAACTGCTGGGGTCCTTTCATTGCTAGTTGCTTCTAGCTATGATTACGATGCTCCACTCGATGAATACAGTAAGTTCAAAGTATCAATTGTGCATTCTTTTAAGTTTGCTATGGATTTTCTAATTTCTTTTGTCTACTTGATTTGAATTGTACATTCTATGCCTTTTACCATAGTGGGGCCATTTGAAAGATTTTCATAGAGCAATAAAGCTTTGTGAACCAGCTTTAGTATCTGGAGATCCCACACTGATGCAACTTGGAACTGATCAGGAGGTTAATATAACTTGTATTTCTAAGAACCTCAATCCTACTTTCGATTGCTTTGTCTGCAAGACTTAAATATAAATTCCATTCTAAACTTACAGGCTCACGTGTTCAATTATAAATCCGAAGGTTGTGCCGCCTTCCTTGCAAATTACGATACAAATTCATTTGTAAAGTTGCCTTTAGGGACATGCACTATAACCTGCCGCCCTGGTCTATCAACATTCTTCCCGACTGCAAGCATACTGTGTATAACACTGCTATAAAAGTTCCCTATCATTGATGTTAGTCTTTTGTTTCTTCAACGTTTGCTCTGCAACTCTATCTGTTACATTTTGTAAAAAATATATGGGCTTTTAACTCATATTCTCTGTTTTCCTATCAAAAAAAATTATTATATTAAGAGAGACCAATCTATTTAAAACTCATTTAAAACTCAAATCAATATTAATTAATTAAAATAATATCAAAACTAAATGCAAATGTTTGAATCAAATTAATTGTAAATTATTTTTTAATTAAAAAATATTAAATTCTAAAATTCTAAAAAAAATTCGGTTAATTCGAAAATTAACCGAAATTTATTCGGTTCGGTTAATACTTTAAAAAAAAGTTTGATTAATTCGGTTAAGGGTATTTTGATTCGGTCGATCACCAGTTTTAACCGAATGAACACCCCTACGTCTTTCTGCAAAGGGTATTAGATCGGAAAATAAAGATAGAAGGGTATCTGACAGGGAAATAAAGAGGGGAAAGGTGATTTTTGGGGAAAATCGCCCCAGTTTCATCCCTTTATTTGTTTTTCCTCCTTTTGTTAACATTTCCAGATTTTTTTTTAGTTTATCTCCAAATTCACATCTGGTTACTGGAAAAAATAAGATACCCATTTCATTTCATTTCATCTTATCTTTTTTTTTTTTTCAAGAGGTTGAAAAATGATTTATGGTGGAAGGAAAGCATCAAGATCTCACTCTCATTTCTCATCATTGCTCCACATTATGATTTTATTTTTCTTTTTATGCTCAATGGTTGGAATGATCACAGTCTCACATTGCAGCATTTGCTCTAGATAATGCAAGCCTTAGACTCTCCAACGATCTTGCATCTCACATTTCTTCATTTCGCGCATTGTCTGCTCAATTTTTCACTATGAAATTTGGTGAGTCTTTTTTTCCCTCTTCATAACGTTGTCTCCCTTAATCTCTTCCTCTTTTTTTGTGTGGATTATGACGTAATTACCTGAATATAAAGTTTTTGACTGTTTTATCATTCAATAGATCAGTTGTACCCATCTACTTTTTTTTTTCTGCATATGGTTCTCTATATTAGCCTTTTGCTTTGTTTTCTCTGAGTTCTGAAATTAATTTCAATCTGATGTATTAATTGCTTTCAATTTGTGAAAAATGTGTAATGAAAGTTTCCAATGAGCAGCATTTGAGGTCCAAGGGCCCTTTTTACTTCAATTCTTCTCTAGAAATAAACTTCTGTATATAGTTGTTATTAGATTAGATTTGATATTTCCACGGTTTTATGCAGCTGCTCTCACTTAAATTCCACAAAACAATTATAAAACATACGTGTTTGTGTGTGTATAGTTCAATGGGGAATTATGAAATGTATGCAATTGTTCAAATTACTGTTGGATTGCTTACCTCAGATGTGAAATAGGCCATTGTCATTAATGGGGTCATGGTTGATCCTATAAGTTGTATTCTGATTTCTCGAGGATTTGTTCGTCTCCTGGTTGGTCTTTGTAAAATTTTCATTAGAAGCTTATTCAGATGTTTTCTCTCTACTTTTGGACATCGAGAATACAAAATTTTTGCTCCTGAAGGCAGTTGCGCTAAGCATCTGCCACTTGTGTAATACGTGCCATTGGCATCTTTGTTTATTTGTCCTTCCCTAATGCACGGTAGCTTTTCTTATTTATGCTTCGATAAAATTCTACAAGCGATTGCGTATGCCTGATGTAGAACCAGTACTCTCAAATTAAAACGCTCAAGTACTAATCTGAAATCCCAACAGAAATTCTCCAAATTCTTAACCTTTACATCCGATGCTTAGATAACTAGATTGCCATAGAATTATCTTATTAGTGCATGACTGAATTTCTTAGCAGAACATTTTTTGGTCCAAGCCTGATGATCAGTATGACTGAGGTTGTCTCTCTTTTCCTCTTTTGATAATTAACTCAGGCTCTCAACAAAATGATCTGGTCTCGTCCCCCGATCGAAGTTTAAATGGAAGTTTCAGAAAGTTTTCATCTGGTTCGTATGTTACAAATTTACTATCTCTGTTCTCCTTGGTCATATCAAGTTAAACCTATCGTTTTCATTTTTTTACTAGATGCCCTGTTGTGTTTTCTGCAGACATATTAGTAGAACCATTACGATAATTTCTCATAGAAATAGGAACTGATATAACAGTATGATCCTTGATCAAACTTGAGCAAGTATTGTGTAATGGTCCTTGATTAATATGTCGTCTATAATTCCTTCTATCTTGTTCTGCTAAAGTTCATGGCAATTTATAAATTTACTCCTAAGAAAAGAAACTTGACAAGAAAGTTACATTAGCATATCATGTTATACCCTCCTTAAATTCTTGTTTTTTCCTTTTCTGCTTTTTTATGAAAGTAGAAATCCAGATTTAGATGATTATTCCTTTCTCCCTTTCTCTTTCGATCACTTTGGGCAGCAAGCATATGTTCCTTTATATTTTAGCATTAACTTTTTATTCTGCCCAAATATGCTCCACTGTAAAATTTGAAATCTGGATTTATGCAGACTCTTACAAACAATTTGGGTCAGGTTTTCTTCGAAATGATTTAGAGTCTTCTCCAGGGCAGAGCTTAGATGGAAGTTTCAGAAAATCCAACTCTGGTTAGTTCCACAGCTTCCTTTTATTTGATTTTCTCGAGTTTACTTGTAGAAATTGTATGTAATGCATTGTCTTGTTTGATTGTCATTCTGCTTAATGAACTTATGTTTAAGTATGATGTAGATGTGTATATTATTTTGTTCTTTTGTTTTAAAGTTCGTTAATCTAGCTAAAATATCTAATTAGGCAAGTTGTGGATGAATCAGGCTATACTGCAAGTTTTAGCCAGCCCTCACACTCGTCAAGATATCAAGGAAATCTTAAAAGTAAAGCACAGCGGAAATACATATAAACAAACAAAATGTGTTCGAACCTTGTACTATCTACTAAAACAATTTCAGGTTGCAAAGGTTTAAGGAAAAAATGTAATCATTATGATTAAGAACCATACCTAGAACTTAGAGTGTAGTAATCTGGAGTTCTGATTTGTCATTCCAATCCTTCAACACCCAGAGAAATCTCTAGGTGATAGCTCTACTCAAATGTTTGGGCTTCACGTTATTTACATAGCAACTTTATGGAGGTGGGGTAATAAACTAGTGGGGAGGTTTGTTTCATAATTAAAAGCTAAAACAATTTTCTTTCTCCTCAGCCTAAACTCACAATAAAAGAAAAGCTAGAGCATGGTTGTAGGCAGGGTTTCAAGTCGCAGTCGCGGTCAAGTTTTCGGTCATTTCATGTTTACCGTGATTGCAGCTGTCGTTGGCGCTATTGCGGGTGTAGCGGGCGCTATTGCGGGTGTAGCGGGTAACTCGGATGGCGGCGCTACCGCTATTTCGCGGGCGCTATCACGTTTTCGGACCGTGATTTGAAACCCTGGTTGTAGGTGTAGCAAAAGCTTAAAACCACACATTAGGGTTCATTTTAAGCTTTGTATCCGTGCTTAAGGGACCCACTAGACTTCCAATATGTTATCAATGAATATAAATTATATTTCAAATTAAAAATAAGGATATTAATTTATACTCATAAGTTAGGAGAAACATGTAGCTAGGTATTAGGATCACCCAAATATTGAAGAGTCGAAGTAATCTCAACATAACCTTGAGTAAAATCTTATTATTAAAATATATATTTTAAAAATCTTATTTTGATAAAGTAATTATGCATTATATATTTTAAAATATATATTTAATATGACAAAACCGCTTATAATTTATTTTCAAATCCTTTTTTGCTACATCCTTGATTTCAAAAATTTATACAAAAGATGAGTCGGAAACTTAGACATTCATATGTGTAGGAGATGGGTATTAAGTCCATGTATGCTCATAAAAAGAATTCCACATACTATTGCAAGTATCCCTATAGTTCAACCTAAAATACAGGTTGAATGTTAAGAGGCTTACCATACTAGTCTTTGAGCATTTTGGGTGCTTTGTGTTGACAATACAGTTTAGTAACATGCTTCTGATATTAAAGATCTGACTACTATAACCCATTATAGTTTCTTTGTAAGATCTTTATTACATTGTAACATAACCCATATCAAGCACCCACATAACATCAAAGTATCCTATACTTCAACCTATTAAATCGATCATATGTTGCACAAGGAGGCTTACCAAGTACTACTCTTTGAGCATTTCCAATGATTTGTATAGACAATACAAAGACAATGAACAATTTAGGCACATGCGCTTATTGTATAAGGATCTCATAATCATAACCCTTAATAGTTTCTCTGTAATACATTTATTCTAAGCTACATTAGATTAGTACTTGGTAACACCTTATTGTGTTATTGTTGTAGGAAAACCTTTTAACCACTTAGAATTAGTGATTGGTTTGCACAACTTTTAATCCGATTTTATCAAAGGCATATACAACATATAATCTTGCCTTTGTTTAAAAATTCTGAACAGAGAAAAAGTCTTTAAATGTTAGAAAATATGATGAATAAGAATAGGAAAATGAAGATCGTTTTCTGATTGCACTTCCTCCTAAAACACGTTCACATGCCCGTAGCTTGTCTGCTATTTTCCAATTTCTCTCTCTCACAGCAAACGTCTTCTGCAGTCAATTACTGCACCATAAATGAAAATGTTTTGATTTTAATGTAACGCAGTTCTCTCTACCCAAAGTGTGTCTGGGACTTCATCTTCAAGCAAGTTTTTTCAAACTTCTAGAAGAATCCACAAAGTGCTGAAGGACTTTGGAAGGGAATTCATAGACCAGGAGTTATTTAAGCAGGGTCTTCAGGATTGGATTTTAGAAAACTATGGTGTGGATGATGTCACTGGGAAGCAGTCCTTTGTAAATTCCCCATTTCTGATTGATGAACTGCGCAAGCTTGATCTAGCATTGGAAGGGGTTTTATTTCAGCAACTATTCCGAATGCCATGTTCTCCTTTTGCTTCTAAAGGTTTGAAGGAAGATGGGTATCTTGCTTTGGAAGACTTTCTTCATGTTATTGTTAATGGTCTGTGGCGTACATTTTGGCGTAAAAGCGGACCAGTGCAATTCACTCTGTCTTGTGTCTGTCATCCTGGATCTAAGTTGTATGCTGCCGACAAAGCAATTTCACGAGGAAAGTTAGAAGAGCTACGTGGCTTAGCTTTAATATCTAAAAGTGGGAATGATCTAAAAGTTCACTGGAATCAAGTAGTGGAGTTGGCCTTATTTAGACAAGATATACTCTCAGGAACTGAGTTAACATTGTCAGTTGACACCATATGTGAAGCTCTATTTTATAGTGTTCATATACTTATTTCTAGATGTATGAGCAAGTCCAGAACAATAAGCAATGATTCTGTTTTTATTATGGTTTTTGATTCTAAATTTGGTGCAGTGGTAAAACTTGGAGGTGATCTTTGTAAACTTGAACTGAACACAGCTGATCCGTATCAGTCAGTAGTCCACTGGATAAAATGCCATGCTGAAGTCCTTGTTTCATCAGTCGAGAGAATATGGAATTCGCTTGGAAATGCAAATTGGGGAGATCTGGGGACTCTTCAAGTACTGTTAGCTACTTTCTATTCAATCGTCCAGTGGAATGGACCACCAAGAAAGTCAATATCCTCATTGGCCTCAGCTCATAGCCTTCGTCTTCAGAAGCGTAGAATAGAATGCCACCTAGCTGAGAATGAAAATTCCATCGTACCATATCAGCAGGCTGGTTATCAACATGGAGAGATTGTTGAACTGGATCATAATGATAATCCCCTGGTAGAAAAGGCATCACATTTGAAGCTTAAGCAGGGTGAGATATTGCTATTGGAAGATCAACAACAGGGCCAGAAAAGTTTCCAGATACAGGAGTCCTTCATAGGAGGCATCTATTTTCTCTATGGTGCTATTTCTTTAGATTACCCCACGCAGTTTTTAACTTTGTATGTTGGTGCCCATCCATCCAGACTTGAACCTCTTGGGAGGATATGAGTCTGTGGTATCAAGTACAGAGGCAAACGAAGGTACTAAACATATTGAAGAATCAAGGGGTTTCAAGCAAATACTTACCTGAAATAATTGCCTCTGGCCGACTTTTGCATCCTGGTCCTTGCAAAAAGCAGAGTCCAAGTGGACGATGTGATCACCCTTGGTGCGGAACCCCGATTCTTGTAACATATCCAGTTGGGGAACCACTTTCATATATAGTTGCTAGGGATGGTTCATTTTCCTCTGATGATGCATTACGCTGCTGCCGGGACTGCCTAGTTGCTCTAAGAAGTGCAGCAACAGCCAATGTCCAGCATGGTGATATTTCCCCTGAAAACATAATCCGTGTTTTCGATGTTCAAGGTACTAGAAACAAAGTTTTGTACATCCCAGTTTCATGGGGCCGTGCGGTTTTGGAAGACAGGGATAGCCCGGCAATAAATTTGCAGTTCTCATCCTCCCATGCACTTCAGCATGGGAAACTCTGTCCTGCATCCGATGCTGAGAGCCTAGTGTACCTCCTGATTATGATATTTGGGTGAGAAGGCTTAACAGAGCTGTGGATGGATTAGGATCAGCAGATAGAGGTAAAATGATCGAAGAAGTTGCCATGACATTGAGATTGGATAACGTGGCCGAGTCTTCTGGGACATCCGGGTGTGGTACATAATTTTCATGCTGTGGAACCGAAGTTTCAACGGAACGTTTTTGTTTTTGTAACTGTCCTTGGTTGAAATTCGATTTATTTTATTTTTTAAATGGCTTGGACCAACATTGTTCCTGGTGTTAAAACTCAGAAACTAGACATCAAGTTCAATTCGTTACTCTTTTAAGAATTGCAAGGATAAAAATATTGTAAGCCGCACCTTTCATTTTACTTGGACATAATGTCCCACATGTGCTTCCAACGATTTGATCAGCGTCCGTATCTGTGTTGGTTACGTAGTGCATATACTGTTACCACGCATGGTTGATAGACTGCAATACTAAATATTCAACATATTTTGCAGATTGTCCCTTCTTGGCTAATACAACTCAATTCAACTGCTTCTTTCTGGACAATATAAGGTTATTTTGTCTTCTTGCCAATGCCGACATCAGTTATTTTGTGTCCACGTCGACAAATGTCAGTCACATTATCAAGTCGTTACCGAGTTAATGGTCCAATGGTATAATTGAAACGAAAATCAAAGTTCATTGCTATAATTGAAATAATTGAAAGTTCAGTGGTATTTGGTGTAGTTTACCTATTTCTTATTTGTAACCCCAAAAGTCATTCGTTTTTTTAATGTGGCAATGCTAAATAATGGACCTTTTAACACTTTTTGATAGGAAAATCAATTATTAATCGATCAAATAATGGATAGTTTTAAGCAATGAAACAAGGGGTAGGACAAGATCCAATTTCGTATCCTTCGCTCCTTTTTCTCCCAACAGAACTGAAGAGCATATTGTGATTGACAGATTATGAAATTCTGAAATAAGCATCTCTCATCTGCTTAAAGCGTGTGAGATTTGTAACTACCATGTGATACTCAAAGTAATCAAATTGTTAAGACAAAAGGAATCTGGACAGCTATTTCTTCTCCTTCTTTTTCTTTCTTTTTCTTATAGAAGAAAGAAGGCCTTTGAATTGTGTTGCAACTCAGTCTAGCTATTTGCTGTCTTCCCATTATCATCTGCTGAATATATATATCACAAGGTTGAGGGGAGACAAGAGGAATCTCATCCTGTTTAAATATCAACTGCAAGTAACATGGACTCGATTCACATCTACACGATTATCATGAAAACGTTCGTGTTTTGTCTCCTCTCTACATCAAACCAACTCATTACACTTATCTTCAATAACATGATACCAATACAATAATAATATATTAACACACACGATGGTGCTAACTGCTAAGACAGTATACAGGTAATGGCCATTTACTCGATTCTGTTCTTCCCTTTATTTTAATAAACAATTGCTTTCAACTTGTCTTCGCGTTATAGTGTTATTGAATTTGTTCTTCAAAAGGCAGGCAAGATCCGCATGCTTGACTTCTATAATATAATGTTCTGCAGGAAAGCTGTATTTGTCTGCTTTTTTTTAAAGATGGGAAGAAGATGGAACATTTCTTGAAGTTTCAAATGTTCCCAACTGAAATACAGCTAAAACAATTTTTTATAATGGAACTCGTGTATGATCTGAACCAACCGTGTGAATGACAATTGATTTTTGGTTAGTGTTTAATGATATTGAAAGTGGGGAAACTGCAAATAAATCATTCAACTCCATCTTTTAGCTGGCTGGCTTTGCATCTCAATATTCATGCCGTTCTCAGATTTGCTCATTTTGGACTCAAAAGTAATCTTAAAGCAGCATCGATCTTTTCGAATTCATTAATGTCTCATTTTCCGGCTTGCTCGCACACTATTCGTTTGTGGTTCAATAGTTTAGACAATAACAACCAGCGGGTAGAGTGTAGACTTTCATTGTTGCTTTGGCCCGGAGATGAGGGTAAAAAATTACTCAAACATGGAAGAAGCGACCGCTTCAAGCTCCCTAAGCAAGCTGAAGGCTAATCATTGCCTCGGTCTCATGATCATCCGCAGACGAGAAACCACGTTTTGTTTCCAAACCCTTGGATTTAGTGTCAAACACTGATTGGATAATGGATTTTTTTTAACGGCCAGACACAATTATAACGGTCTAACAAGAAATAGAAGGAAAACTTTCTGAAGTATATTTCAAATTGACACAAGAATATTACAATTGTGTTGTATTTAATGTACAGAACGAAGTACCATGATATTTGAGACTAGATTAGTGGTTGAGTGTGTTGAGAATATGGGCTCTAACTTTGATCATGCGCCTAAACAGACCCTCAACCCCTTCTTCAAAGTCTTGCATACAAGTCTCTGATAATTTTAGTTCATTCTCAACTTTCTCAATTTGCGTCATGTCAGATTTGCTTGTTGCTAGGGATAGCAATGAAGTGTCGGTGATTTCCATTTCGTTTGTCTGCTCCTCCTTCACCGCTGACTCTTTTTGTTTGCAATAGTTTTGAAACCAGCAACCACCGGTTCATGTGTGATTCTTTCTCGGGACCGAACGTAAAGACCAGGGTTTTAAAAAACGCTCCGCGACCGCGATATAGCGGTTTCGCCGCCGTCCGAGTTACCCGCGACGGCCGCAATCACGGTAAATCCGAAAAAACCGAAAACGCGACTGCGATCTCGATTTGAAACCCTGATAAAGACTGACAAGGATTGTAGCACATTAAGAGTGACTGCTTGCACCTCCCTTAGTAGGCTAACTATCGAACCAGTCTCATTCGAGACAACGCTTTGCTTATTGTCCTTATGCTTCAGATTCTTCAGGGCCTTCAAGATTTCATTTTTAGCTGCCTTCTTAGACGTCAAGTATTTTCTGACCTCATTATTGTAGCATCTCTCTTTCTGCGGAAGACGGATTGCAGTTCTATTGTGCATTCCTTTACTTGCAACAAGGCATCCTTGACTGCGGCGCATACATCTAAAAGCCTGAGAGATGCATTAAACAGCTCATCAACACATTCCCTCTTCTGCTCTTGGGATAATATTTGTCGAGTGAAGGGCAGCTGAATCAGTTTGTCAATGCAATCATGCAAATCTTGAAGTCTGCCGAGTTTGTAGTTTAACGATGATGAAGTAGATGCTGACTTGGATGATGCCAATCTACTCAAATGCTCATCAACCTCTGAAGTTAAAGGGTGTGATCGAGAGGGAAAGCTATTAGAACGAGTGTGGTAACTGGTTTGGATGTTTGAAGGAACGGTAGCCATTATCTCTTCCGGAAAGAAAACTCGGAAGTTATTATCTCGATACAATCTTGAAACTTGCCTTCTTGCCTTCATGTACTCAATATATTCTATGAAGGAGGAGGAGACATGAAGAATCTCACCCTTTCAAGGTGCAGTCGTGTGGTAACATGGACTACACACTTATCTGAACAACTATCTTAGCATGGTTTATGCAATGTCTCCCTCCTAACAAGCTCTACAACTCATAACATGAAACTAATTTATGTGGCTAATATTGTTTAATCGTTTTCATTAGCATGTACATGAACATGTGTATGCATTTAACATGGTTGAGTTTATCAAGTTTTTTAATTATGTTCTGAATCTCTTGTCGTGCAGGAGCCAGGCAAAATTTGCAAGCTCAACTTCTACATATCTTGCCAACATATTTTGTCAAATTTTGGGATTAAATACTTATTAAGTCCCTGTTAACTTTGAAGTTAGACAAATTAACCCCTCTCATTATCTAATCCTGGTTCCGTCCCTGCTCCGAATACACAGAGAATATCCACATTGGACATCCGATCTCTATCCAACCATGTTAAAATATAAATCCCATGTGTTTCTTTGCGCCCGTTGATTACCAACCAAGTTGCAGGTGCACGAGAGCTGTTGACAGTTTGACATTGTTTCACCTAAATAACAAAATGCAAATTGAATCATTTGCACGTGTGCTTATGCATATAGTTCTAAACAACAAAACAAGGGGTAGGACAAGATCCACTTTCGTATCTGTTAGGAAAATAAACCGAGTACAAGTAATTTCCCTATAACTAGATTAGTGAGAATGCAAAATAAAAGCGGAAAAATAATACCCGAAAATTGATAACGGAGTTCAGCCAATTGTGCTTACGTCTCCGGGCTGCTGCAGATCTTTTACTAAGAGAGAAAATTTACAGGTGTTTACAAAACACTCACAACTCACAAGAAAGCTCTCTAGTATAGGAAGAAAGAAATGTTTTGGGATGATTTTGAAGCTAAATGGGTAAGGGTATTTATAGTAGAAACTTAGGGACTAATCTTTGAAAATACCCTAAAGTGCAATGACTAAAGTGAATTTACCCATTCCTATTTTCAACAAACATCTACCAAAATTTTACCAAACTTTGAAAAAACATTTTTCAAAGAAACATTTACCAAACTTTGAAAAAAAACATTTTCCAAAGTTGGTTGCCAAACTTTGAAACTTTTAACAATCTCCCACTTGAAGACTGATTTTAATATGTCTTCACACCTCGATCAATGCAGCAGCATGTCTGGTCTTGTTATTCTAGCATGCCAACTGAAGTTGAACACAACTTCATTTTATCCGTAGTCACCGTCTTTGTCAACATGTCTGCCGGATTTTGAGCTCCACTAATCTTTTCAAGTTTCAAAATCCCATCTTCCAGAAGAGACCGGATAAATGATATCTCAATTGTATGTGCTTTGTCCTGGAATGAAAAGACGGATTCTTTGCTAGATGGATAGCACTTTGACTGTCGCAATACAAGATATTGTTTTCTTGTTTCTTGCCTAACTCTTCTAAGAAACTTTGGGCCAAACCATCTCCTTGCTGCTTCCGTAACAGCGACATATTCTGCTTCAGTTGTGGAGAGAGCAACTATCTTCTGTAGTTGAGAAACCCAACTCACTGCAGTTCCTCCTAGAGTATAGACATACCCTGTAGTGCTCCTTCCGATGTCGACATTTCCGGCTAAGTCAGCATCTACATAGCCTGTCATATCATATCTCCACCTTGAAACAAAGTGCTTTGTTTGTGGTACCCCGAATATATCTGAGGATCCATTTGACTGCTTCCCAGTGTACCTTGCCCAGATTATTCATGTACCTGCTAACAGCTCCCACTGCTAGCAATATCTGGTCTGGTACAAACCATGGCATACATCAGACTTCCAATTGCTGAGGCATACGGCACCTTCACCATGTGTGCACGTTCTTCCTCCGTCTTTGTGATTGGTCTTTGGAGAGTCTGAAATGAACACCTAAAGGTGTACTTACTGGTTTAGCATCTTGCATGTTGAACCTGGAGAGTACTTTGTTGATGTACTCAGCCTGATAACATCAAAGTCCCCGACTTTGTGTCTCTTGATCCTCATCCCCAAGAATCTGCTTGCAGCGCCCAGATCCTTCATAGCAAACTGCTTCGACAATTTTTGCTTCAGTGTATATCTCTTGCATGTCTGAGCCTGCAACGAGCATGTCATCAACGTACAATAATAAAATAATGAAGCTGTTGTCGAACCTCTTGATGTAGCAACAATGATCTGCTTGGCATCTGATAAAACCACTGCTACTCATGAAACTATCGAACTTCTTGTACCACTGTCTAGGAGCTTGTTTTAAACCATACAAGCTCTTCTTCAACCTACATACCAGGTTTTCTTGTCTGCCTCTATGAAGCCTTCTGGCTGCCTCATATAGATTCTTCCTCCAAATCACCATGAAGGAAAGCTGTCTTTACATCTAACTGCTCAAGATGTAAATTCTCTGCAACTACAATTTTCAACACCAGTCTGATTGTAGACAATTTTACGACTGGAGAGAAAATTTCATTGTAGTCAATACCTTCTTTTTGCTGAAAGCCTTTGACAACCAATCTTGCTTTGTAGCGTTTGCTCCCATCGTGCTCTTCTTTGATCCTGTAAATCCACTTGTTGTGGAGCGCTTTCTTGCCTGGTGGTAATTCAGCTAATTCCCATGTCTGATTTGACATAAGCGAGTCCATCTCATCTTTCATGGAAAACTCCCACTTGACTGAATCCTCCACTTGCATTGCTTCATCATAGCACTCTGGTTCACCATTGTCAGTCAGCAACAAATAGTGTAAAGAAGGAGAATACCGTTGGGTTGGTTTAGGAATTCTGGAGGAGCGTCTCAGTTCTGGTGTGCCTGGTTCTTCTTGAACTGCTTCAGGATTGATCTGAACATCATTTCCAGAAATCTCCTCGAACTCAGCAAATTCCTTTGTTTCAGCTTCGGTATTACTTGATTCTGCGGTTGACCTATCTTTGTACATCTCATTTTCATTGAAAATGACGTCTCTGCTTCTGATGATCTTTCGATTTTCGTAGTCCCAAAACCGGTAACCGAACTCATCACCACCGTAACCAACAAGACGCATTTTGTTGGACTTGGCATCAAGTTTACTTCTTTCAGCAGAGTTTATGTGTACATAAGAAATACAACCAAACACTCTTAAGTATGAAAGGTTTATTTCTTTCTTGCTCCAAGCTTCCTCTGGTATTCCGCCATCCAAAGGAACTGAGGGCCCACGGTTGATCAAGTAAGCTGCAGTGTTGATAGCTTCAGCCCATAGAAATTTGGGCAATCCGGCATGTATCCTCATGCTTCTGGCACGTTCATTCAGATTTCTGTTCATGCGCTCTGCTACGCCATTCTGCTGCGGTGTTATGGGAACTGTTGTCTCCATCTTGATCCCATTGTTTGCGCAAAAATCTCTGAATCTACTGTCTCTGTATTCTCCTCCATTGTCAGACCTCAACCGCTTGACTTTCAAACCAATCTCATTTTCCACCATGGCCTTCCATTTTCTGAAGTTATCAAAGACTTCTGATTTCTTCTTCAGAAAATAAACCCACACCTTCCTTGTTGAATCATCGATGAATGTGACATAATATAGTGAGCCTGCAAGAGATGGAACTGGGGATGGTCCCCATACATCAGTATGAATCAATTCTAACCTTTCTGCCTTGGGTGTCTTGCCAATCTTGCAAAACTGACTTTCTTTTGTTTGCCAAAGATGCAATCCTCGCATAGTTCCGACATCTACTTCTTTAGATCCGGCAGCTTCCCTTTTGACAAAAGTGTCTTCATCCCTTTCTCGCTCATATGGCCAAGCCTTTGGTGCCATAGGTTGATTTCCATCAGCATCTGCTACTGCAATGATATTCTCTAAATTTGAGGTTACATAGAGAGTACCAGTTTCTTACCACGAGCAATGACGAGTGCTCCTTTGGTAATCTTCCATTCACAGCCTGAAAAGGTTGTGCTATATCCTTCTCCATCAAGCTGTCCAACAGAAATCAGATTTCTTTTGAGGCCAGGAATATGTCTCACTCCTGTCAGCTTCCAGGTGGTCTGGTTTGGCAACTTTAGTCGGATGTCTCCTTTTCCGACGATCTTTAAGGTTTCATCATCAGCAAGATGAACCTTCCCAAAATCACCACTGACATAGTTCTCCATGATTTCTTGGTATGGGGTGGAGTGGAAAGATGCCCCTAAATCCAAGATCCATAATTCAATCGGACTGTTGACGCTTAGAATCATGGCATCACCTGTCTCCTCTGTCACGTTGGCAGATTCCTGTGCACTGGTATCTTTCTTCAGTGCTCGGCAATCTCTTTTGAAGTGACCATTCTTGCCGCAATTATAACAGGTAAAATCTTTATTTCCTGTTCTTGATTTGCCCCTTTTGGATTTTGATCTGCCACGATTTGAATTTCTTTCTGAAGTTCTCCCTCTAGACTCGGTGTGCAAGGCTGAGGAGGTTGATGCTTCACCCGATTCTCTTCGTCGAATTTCTTCACTCAATACCAGCCCGAACATCGTCGAATTTTAATTTGCTGTTTCCCGACGAACTGCTGACTGCTGTAACAGTAGCATTCCAACTGTCTGGTAGATGATATAGAAATTAAAGCTCGAATTTCATCATCGAACTCAATTTCCACTGAACTCAACTGGGTTGTGATTGTGTTGAGTTCATTTAGGTGTTGTGCCACCGATGCCCCTTCCGCCATCCGCAAATTGAATAATCGCCTCATCAAATGAACTTTGTTTGAGGCCGATGGTTTCTCGTACATACTGGAGAGAGCCGCCATAAGACTCGCCGTGGTCTTTTCCTTTGCTATGTTAAAAGCAACATTGCGGGATAACGTCAGTCGGATAACTCCGAGGGCTTGTCTGTCGAGAAGAGCCCAATCTTCATCCTTCATGCCCTCTGGTTACTTTCCTGAGAGAGGTTGATATAGATTTTTCTGGTACAAAAAATCTTCAATCTGCATCTTCCAAAAACCAAAGTCCGCACCATCGAACTTTTCAATTTTCACCTTCCCTTCGTCTGCAGCCATCGCTCCCACTCGAATCTGGCTTCGTTTGGATCGTTTCTGACAATTCTTGCGAATCACCGTGTATTAGAACACCACCGTCGACAAACTCGTATCGCCGACCGAATTTCACTATTCACGAAATTCACTATTCACGTGAATAGTAATGAATAGTAACCTCGCAGAAAATTTGACAAAATTCACAACCAAAAGCTCTGATTACCAGTTGTTAGGAAAATAAACCGAGTACAAGTAATTTCCCTATAACCAGATTAGTGAGAATGCAAAATAAAAGCGGAAAAATAATACCCGAAAATTGATAACGGAGTTCAGCCAATTGTGCTTACGTCTCCGGGCTGCTGCAGATCTTTTACTAAGAGAGAAAATTTACAGGTGTTTACAAAACACTCACTACTCACAAAAGCTCTCTAGTATAGGAAGAAAGAAATGTTTTGGGATGATTTTGAAGCTAAATGGGTAAGGGTATTTATAGTAGAAACTTAGGGACTAATCTTTGAAAATACCCTAAAGTGCAATGACTAAAGTGAATTTACCCATTCCTATTTTCAACAAACATCTACCAAAATTTTACCAAACTTTGAAAAACATTTTTCAAAGAAACATTTACCAAACTTTGAAAAAAACATTTTCCAAAGTTGGTTGCCAAACTTTGAAACTTTTAACAGTATCCTTTGCTCCATTTTCCCCTAACAAAACCGAAGAAAATATTGTGAATGACAGACTATGAAAAAACATATTTTATTTGCTTAAAGCGTGTGAGGTTTGTATATACCATGTGATACTCAAAGTGTTGCAATATCTTCAATGGGACAACAGGAATCTGTACAGCTCATGTATCCATAGAAAAATCTCAGAGATCTTGAATCCTTGTTTAGTAAATGTAATACTGGAGGCTCTATAATTCAGCTTGTAAGTTAAAACGGGTAGCATTTGGTAAAACTAACAGGAATCTGCAGTAAAAATATTGCATCGATAACCATTCTTGAAAGCTAAGAAAAAGAGAGAATATGTGGAAATAAGACTATACTTTTTTTGTTCTAAAAATTGTGTACATGTAAATTATACTTTTATGTACAATTAGAATGCATAAGATTTCAACAGTTGATCAGGCTGTTGAGAACAGCGACTCTTGCTTTGATAAACCTCCTAAACAAGCTTTCAAGACCTTCATTGAGATCTTCGATACACATCACTGAGTTTTGGACATTTTGAACATTCTCAACATGCTCAGATTTAATCAAGGAACTCAATGTAGCTTCAGCATTCACAATTTCATTTGCCTTTTGTTCTTCTTCCTCGCACACGACTCTTTTCTGGTACATGAACTTTGAAACTTGTGACCACCGGCTCAATTTCGATTCAGCCTCTGGCCCTGATATAAAGGACAACAAGGACTCTAGCACGCGGACAGTTACTGCTTCTACTTGTTTTAAGGTGTTAATCACGGCTCCGCTCTCACCATCTCTACTGAAGGAAGAGCTGCTAAGTTTATTCTCCATATGCTTCAAGTTCTTTAAGGCCTTGCAGATTGCCTTTTTCACTGCCTTCCTAGAGGTTAAGTATTTCCTAACCTCATTAGTGAACCCTTCGACTCCTCGTCTTCGGCGCAAAGTCGATTGAAGTTCTAGTGTGCATTCCTTTGTTTGCGACAAGGCATCTTTAGCGGTTCCACATACATCAAGAAGCATGAGAGATCCATCCAAAAGTTCTTCAACCCATTTCCTTTGCTGCTCTTGGGCTAGAGCTTGTTGAGAGAGGGGGGCAATTGAAGCAACATATCAACAGTCATACAAATCTTGAAGACAGTTGAGTTGATGTTCTATCGATGAAGATGTAGAGGCCGACTGAGACGCCCTCAGTAGGTTCAGATCTTCATCAATTTGTGAAGTGATGGGGTGCTTCCTTGAAGGCAGGCTGTTTGAGCGTGCATGAAAAGAAGGCTGGGCATTCAAAGGAGAGGAAGCCATTTCTTTTTTTAGAGAAGAAAGGCCTTTCAATTGTGTTGCAACTCAGTCCAGCTATTTGCCGTCTTCCCATTACCATCTGCTGTGTGTGTATATATATATCACAGGCTGTGGGGAGACAAGAGGAATCTCATTTGTTCTGCAAAAGGGAGGCAAGATCTGCATGCATGACTTGTATAATATAATGTTTAGCAGGAAAGCGTGTACTTGGCCTCATTTTGTTTTTAAAAGACGGGAAGAAGATGGCATATTTCTTGAAGATTCAATTGTCCCCTAACTGAAATACAGCTCAAACAATTTTCTGCAATGCAACTCGTGTATGATCTGAATCAACCGTGTGAATGCCAATTGATTTTGGCTAAGCCAAATGTAATAAATAAATATTTGCACAACTGCAGGGACATATACTCCTCGTTACAACATTATTTATTCAAATTTTCTCCCCCTATCAATGGTTAAACTATCCTCAGCTCACCATTAAAATATTGTCAACCGCTCGAGAATGATGGTTTGAGTAATTACTTTTCACTAATAGCAAGCAGTTCCGTTGAGTACTAACTTCGGATAAAACTTTCTCGGCGTGCGGCCATCGTGATGAGAATATTATCCATGTTGGAAGGAACTGCTGCTTTGCATGAATAATATGGTCACAATTACTTCCCCATTATTTTATTACTGAATTTCACTCCTTTTCTCCTAACCAATGGTTACAGGCAAATCTCGAGGTGAATGTTAACGGAAGCATCTCTCCGGCCGGGTGGTGAATCTGGAAACAACGCAACAGTTTTGTCTTCAAAGGTGAGTGCTGATCGGTGACTTCTTCAATTTCATGGGCTAAGGCTGTTGGTAGTGCGAGTTCTTTGACTAAACAGGCGCCTAAAGAATGTCCGTTGTGTTAATCGGTGGCAGCCTATTGCGAGTGATGGTTAAGCTCAATGTTTATTAGGGAGTGATATGGGTAGGGTCAAGTCGAGCTTTGACATGTTTAAATAAATTTAACTCGATTATTATATTTTTTTATCTGTCATTTAATTCGATTTAAGTTTAAAGAAATTTATACATTTTTTTAAGGTGAAACTCACATCTGACTCGATCCGACATAAATATATATATTTAAAAAATCTTTTATATTTGGTAAAATAAAAATCTAATTTTTAAACAAATATAAAGAGCGAAATATTATTGCAATTAGATTAAAAAACTTTCGTCCTAAATTCAATATTACCTTACTTTTTAAAATTTCAAATCAATCTAATTTAATCTAAAATCTAAAAAAATAACTTTATAAATCAAATTAACTCAAAATTTATCAAACCCGAATCTCATGTCTTTCCCTAATGTTGATGGCCTTATCCAAGGTGTTAAAATCTAATTTAAATGCTAAAGTGATTTTATTAATATAATTTAAATATTAAAATAATTTTAAATAAATAAAATTACTTTATTTGCAGAAAATAGTTTTGGGTTGAACTAGTTGACCCAAGTCGAGCCAGCCCACCTCTGTTGCAACAATATCGTCTCTCTTGCCCTTTGCACAAGTCTCCTCGAAATAAACTCTCACCGGAGCTTTTAATTTTGAAGAACAAATTCGTCTCCCAAACCTTTTGCATCTCCTGCACTACAGATCTGAAAAGCTGAAAGCGATCAAGCAAGGATGTGAGTTCGCATTATCTACTTTTCCTTTGTTTAATCTTCAATTTCTTTGATTTTTCCATCCATCTGTTTTGCTTCGCTTGTATCCATTATGTAAGCTTGATTCTCTTTGGAATTTAAGGATCCATCTACTGAAAGGTTTCTTTCTTTGTCTTTATATCCATGGCTGCTTCGACTTAAAAATGTGTTTGAACTCGTCTAAATTTTTGATCCGATACATGTTTCCCGTTTCCTGCGTCAGATTTAATTAATTAGTTTAATTAAGGAATAGGGGAAATTGGAGGAGACGAGGAAGATTAAGATAATTAATTAGGATTTGGGTTTTCCATGCACGCTTTCGCGTTACTTGGGGAGAATTAAGCGTTGTAAGTTTTCCATTGGTAATGTGGTACTGTAACAAGCTCGTACCTCATACAGCTTTGTTTCTTTAGGTTATAGATACATCCGCTGATTGGTTTCCTGTGTTTTATTAATTTCTCATAATGATGTTTCAGATAAAAAAAGTATGACCACTCTTGATTCGATTGTAGCCTATAGAGTTGGCTACATACTTTGAGCAAAACTCTAGTTTTGGTTTGTTACTTTCATGTTTATACCATGCATAAGTATGTTGAACTGGATAGCGGTCATTGCTTTTCTCAGAGACCATTAAGACCTCAAATAATTATTATGGTGAGATAATTTAGAGATTTGTTAATTTTTTGTTTGCAGTCATGTATCCAAGGTCATTTGGTTGAAAGGGAAGTTTGTTAGATTAGCTATGCTTAGCGCCAGATTTTCGAACAACAATATTAGCATTATTTAAGGTTGACCTTGAGTAGCCATGATTGTCCTTGGACTAAATATTACTATCATATTGTAACCGAAAGCATTAGATATTGTGTATGAAGAGGGAGTCAGATCCTCCAAGAGAGGGAATTATCTTTATGGAGATGATGTTGTGTCTTTTCTCCTAGATCAAACTGTGTTACAACCACCTCTCAGCCTCCTCTTCTTTTATTTTTTTCCCCTTCCCAAAAAAATGCAAATCATCTTGTAAAATATACCTGATTAAAAGCAGAAATATTTGATTTATTCTCATCTCTCTCTCCCTCTCCCTCTCCCTCTCCCTCTCCCTCTCCCTCTCTCTGTGTGTGTGTATTAGTTGCAAATTCAGTTTGGAACTATTCTATCTTCCAATATTTTATTTTGGTGTGTAATTTTCTTTCTTATTGCAAGTGGAAAATGAAAATATGAACTACAAGTTAGGTTTGGTTAGCTTCAGTTTTTAAGAGTTTCTGTTGGTATTCAGTTTGAATTTTCAGAAGCTCGTTGATTTCTGTTTAGATTTATCCCTCTTCATAATTGACCCTGCCAAGTAGCCATACTCTCCTTTTAATATATTCCTTACATTGCTGTGCAAAATCACTTTCGTAGGATGCATTTGGTGCTAAACAAGAACATAAGGTTTGGTTGTGTTTAGTTTCTCCAGAGTTGCTGTTAGTGTTCTGTTTGAATTTCTGAATTTCACCAACTTCTTTTTTTGTTGAACTAATATTTGATTTTGATATAACAAGTTTTATTAAGTGATTAAATTGTAAAAAATCAAGATTTGTCATAGGAAGTTCTTAAAATGATTTTACTAAGTTATATATATTCAAAATTGAGTTTCAAGTGTTTTGATTTAATCCGTGATCTTAAAATATTTTCTTAGTGTCAAAAATACAAAAACAAGTCAATTTTTTACCCCCAGTTTTGAAATTACAAACCAGTACTGAAACTCATTTTCCGGAAAGCTTTTTGGTTTTGGAACCAAGGCCTCGGTTTTGAAACCAGATCTTCGATTTCAGAACCCCCTTGGCATTTTCAAAATCAACTGGGCACAACATGCTACAATGTATTCTTTGTGGAATATGCATGATAAATCACTGAGCTTCTCTCCTATATCTTTGATGTTATTCAAGCATGAGTTATGCCTTCACTTTTTTTCTTTACATGCTTGAATTCTTGATGCTTGAAATAGAAATTTGGTGGTTACATTACTGGTTTTCGCTGTATGTAGTATCTTATCTTTGTAAACTCTGTATAAAAAGGGAAATTAACATATCTGATTGTGGGAGAAGGAAAAGGAAATTAGATTATCTTTGATGTTATTTCCCCTTGCTCCTATATATTTTTGTTTGTTTTTTATTATTTAGCTTTTTCTTGCCTTCTTTTTATGTTATTACGCTCCTGGAATCATTTCTTTTTGTTGGTTTTCTGTGTAACAATAATATCTGAAAGGGACTTGTTTCTCTTCCTTATTTTCTATTTTTTGTTAATTGTCAAGCTATAACAAAAGATGTCTCGAAGATACGATAGCCGCACAACAATCTTCTCCCCAGAAGGTCGTCTTTACCAAGTTGAGTATGCAATGGAGGCCATTGGAAATGCTGGCTCTGCAATTGGACTATTGTCAAAGGATGCTGTAGTCTTAGTTGGTGAAAAGAAAGTTACTTCCAAGCTTCTTCAAACCTCTACATCTACGGAGAAGATGTACAAGATTGATGATCACGTTGCTTGTGCTGTGGCGGGAATAATGTCTGACGCGAACATCCTCATCAACACTGCAAGGGTGCAAGCACAACGGTACACATTTGCTTACCAAGAGCCAATGCCTGTTGAGCAGTTAGTCCAATCTCTTTGTGACACGAAGCAGGGATACACGCAGTTTGGTGGTCTTCGTCCCTTTGGTGTTTCATTTCTTTTTGCAGGATGGGACAAAAATTATGGTTTTCAGCTTTACATGAGTGATCCTAGTGGAAATTACAGTGGATGGAAAGCTGCAGCTATCGGTGCCAATAACCAGGCAGCACAGTCAATGCTAAAACAAGATTACAAGGACGATATCACAAGGGAAGAAGCTGTCCAACTTGCATTGAAGGTGCTGAGTAAAACCATGGACAGCACTAGCCTTACTTCTGAGAAGCTTGAACTGGCTGAGGTTTTCCTTACACCTTCTGGGAGTGTAAAGTATCAGGTCTGCTCACCCGAGTCTTTGAGTAAGTTGTTACTCAAGTTTGGAGTGACCCAACCTGCTACTGAGGCTTCCTGAGCTAGTTTCCTTCCAACGAGTTTATCGTACTACTCTCTTTTATATTCAGTCTGCAAGTGGAATTGAGAAGTCTGTCGGATCATAACGTTGATTGTTGTGAACTATAGAACTTTGAACTCGTTAAATGTTGATGCTGTTGCTGCAATCAGTTTTCTGTTGGAACATCAAGTAGTTGCTGTAGAATATGATTTTGTAACAGCCCCATTTCCTTAGCTAAACTGTCAGCTTAGTTATGGCATTTCAATTTACCATGACCAAATCTAAAATTCTGTTTTTATGATCTTACCATGCGTTGGGCCTAGGTCGAATGCTTCGATTTTAGGTGTTGAAAATTGATGCTTTGTTTACTATATAACATGATCCTAGTTTCAATGTTTTAACTTGCTTATTTGAGATCGCTATGCTTGTTAAATTCCATGCTTTAGAGGGAATACCGTGCTTTAATACGCTGATGCGAGCTTTCCATGTTTAGATGGAGCTAATACCATGCTTTAATACGTTGATACGAGCTTGCCATGTTTAGATGGAGCTAATACCATGCTTTAATACGTTGATACGAGCTTTCCATGTTTAGATTGAACGAGTACTTCTAAGTAGTAGCTAGGAATGCGGCTAGCTACTATTATCTAATTTGATAGTTCTATGTTTAGGTTGAATTCGTGCCTTACTATTTCACAACCACACTCAAAAAGACAGTTTTTGTTTTGAAAGATATTCGGGATCCTAACGAGTATAATCGAGTTTAAGAATTATACATGATAGTTCAAAATAAATAAATCATGATATTTTCGAGTCCCATATTGTTTATATTTGAGTTTTTTTTAAAGTAATTAAATATAATTACTAATCTTTAGTTATTGAAGACAAAGTTCATATACGTGTCACCGTCTTTGTTCGACCGACTTGTATCCAACTCGTGCAAATGTATTTCTATCATGTACTACACGTGTTGTTGTTTTTTTAAAAATAAAATTCATATATAATTTTTAAGATTTTAGCATTTTTTCCCTATTTTGATCCTATATTAAGTTAATATGTGAGAGACCATCCAGAAGATCTATTACGTCAATAGAGGTTCATCTACAAAATATCTTTAAAAAAACACTATCCACTTGGTGCATTTTTATCAAAAGAATGTTGTTTTGGTAAATAATGTTATTTAAATTTTATTTTGATAAGAAAAAATGTTATTTTTAGTATTATTCTCATAAATTAACTTTTGATGTAATTAAAGTTTGTGACTATTTCTCTAAATAATATTAATTTTAGAATTCGAATTTAGATGTCTCATTAAAAGGTATATTATTATTATAATTAATCTTTATTGATTGGTTTTTTAATAAATCTTTTTATTTCTTTTAAAAATAATAGATGTTATTAGTTTACTTCATTCGATTTTGTTTTTTATAAATATTTTAATCATTTTGTTGTGTGTGGTAGAAAAAGAATTAAACGATTAAAAAATAAATTATATAAAATTAAAAATAATGCTTAGTTTTTAATTTATCCTAAAGTAACATATTATATAAAGGAACAATGTACTTCAAGACTTTCTTTAACATTCTAGCTCTCTCCTTCTGGCAGAAAAGAAGAGCCCAGTGAGAACCGAGAAGTGTAATATAAGATTCTCAAAACAGATATACAAGTGCAACCGGAGAACGTGAGACTTCCCCCTCTCTTTTGTATTTCTATGTTTGTTTTAATTTGATCTGAGAAACAGAATAAAAGAAAAAGATGGCGCCGCCAGCAGCAGCGGGCGGAGGTGGAAGCGGTGGAGGAGGAGAGCAGCCGCGACAGCAGCAGCAACAAAATGGATTTGGAAAAACATTAACCGGAATCATTAGGATCGCCGTGTTTTGGTATTTTGCTTCCAAATTCTTTTCTCCAAAAAAGACCGCCGAGCCTTCTACCCTCATCAACAATCTCTTCCAGAAGGGCGAACCCCTGGTATGTCGGATACATCAAAATTCACTAAATTGACCAACCCAAACCGATAGTTTCCTTGTTAAATGACTGTGTTCGTCTTTTGGTAGGATATGTGGTTTTATCTTTCTGAGCACGAAAAGTTCAATGACTTTGGAAACGAAGCTCTTGTGTGGCATGAAACTAATATTCCTTATGCCACTTGGGGTCCTGAAAGTACCCGTACTCTTTCTATGAAGTATTATCCTCCTCAGGTCAGGTGTTTGAAAATGCATCCTTTGCTTGCTTGCTTGCTTGCATGCTTGCAATTTGGTTGTTGTTCTCTTAGAGTTGGATACATTAAGAAGTTGATGTTTTAATCTTGCAGTCCCTGAAAAACAATGGCAGTCTCTATGCCCACGTTTTCTTTGCACGCTCGGGTTACCCTCCAGATCCAAATGACCCTGAATACCAGCCTCAAGCTGCCTTTGGAAGGACTCACTGTGAGTTTCTCTCTCTTTCCCTCCCTCTGTCTCTCAAATGATTCTTTTCTCTAATTGCTGGAAATTAATGGTGATCAAGTAACCTCCTTATTATTGATTTCAGCTGTTGTGGCATATTTACCCAAGTCAAGATCAGATAAGAAGAAAAGTCTTCTTGGGAACACCAAAGATGGTGAAGGAGTTGAATCCGTGGCTATGGTTTGTTCTTTACTAGTATAACTTATTTCATCAATGGATGAAATGTGTGAACTTTGAGTTTTGTTTGATGTTCTTCACGCTAGGTTGTCATGCATTTCTGTTCTCGTAGGTGCTTTGAATTCCCTTGAGTGTTGCAGTAATATAATGATCTTAGTATTGAATCATGTTGCTTCAGGTGGCTGATGATGCTGAAACTGAATCTAAAGATGATGGCCCTAAAGAGTGGATGGCTTATTGGAAGCCAAATATTACCATTAACTTGGTTGAAGATTTCACACGGTAAGTTTACGTAATGTTCTGTAAATGCGCACTTTGGTTTTGTTTATTTTTATTATTCGGCATGATTTGATTCCTGTGTTTCTTGGAAAATAAAGAAATTCTTGGCTTTCAAGAATGGTAAAAATAATTCTGTAGTTTTGGGGGGAAAATTATCTCTACATGGATGGTTTTTTATTACTTATACACTTTGGAAGCATGTGTTTAGGATGTTGGTTTTCTTCTCTGCAGATATCCAATTTTGGAACAAGAATAAGTCTATGGAAGGACTGTCTGCAAAGTCTGTTGTAGTGAGCTTTCTGTGTCAGCTCATTGTTTTCCTTTATCTACTTGATAATGAGACATCATGGATGATACTTGCAAGTTCGGGAATTGGATGTTGCATCGAGTTTTGGAAAATAGGGAAAGCTATGCACATAGAGGTATGAGCTCAATTTTGCAGTTGTTTTGCTTGGTACTGTTTGCGTTGTGGGCATCCTCCCAGGAAGGGAAAACAAAAAAGGACTTGCTTTTAGATGCGTATATTCTGAGAGTTCAATACTGAATAATATCCTTGTTTATGTTGAACTTTCCTGATTCTGAGATGATGATCATGCTTTCTTCTTGATTAACTGAGTTAACTTGTAATAAGTATTTTACATTGAAAGACCATTTTTGTGGATTGCAAATATATGCTGTCATTACCTTTTATTCGAGGCTTGATTTTTCATACTTGATGGTGTTACATCTTGGCTAAATCTGGTTTATTTTATCTGCCAGCTTTTTGTTAACTTATTGTCAAAATTTGTAATATTTCTTGTCATCTTCAGATTGATAGAAGTGGAAGGATACCCATGTTACGGTTCCGAGATCGTGATTCGTATGCAAGCAATAAAACTAAGGAATACGATGATATTGCGATGAAATACCTATCCTATGTGCTCTTCTTCCTTGTTATATGCTTTTCCATTTACTCCCTCATGTATGAGCGTCATAAGAGCTGGTATTCTTGGATTCTCTCTTCACTCACGAGCTGTGTATACATGTTTGGTAAGCCATCTCTCCTTTCATGTTTCTTTCTTCGATGCTACCGTGGGTTACGTACCGTCAACAAAAACTTATTAACATAGTGAAAGTCTGATGTTGCTATCCGGTGTTTTTGGCAGGTTTTATCATGATGTGCCCTCAACTATTCATAAACTATAAACTCAAGTCCGTGGCTCATTTACCCTGGAGGCAAATGACCTACAAGTTCCTCAACACCATCATCGATGATCTCTTTGCATTCGTCATAAAAATGCCAACGCTTCATCGGCTTTCCGTCTTCCGTGATGGTAAAAACGAAAGAACAACTTTTAAATGTGTTGTTTTCCCTTGCACACTTATGGAGTGATTCTGGTTCTGACAGTGATGCTTAAACTTTTTGCAGATCTTATATTTTTAATCTACCTGTACCAGAGGTGGATATATCCTGTGGATAAGAAACGCATAAACGAATTCGGCTTCGGCGGCGAGGATGATAATGATCAGACGGCTGCCGTTGCCAATGAAGATGACAAGAAAACCAATTGATGTTAGCCACTCTTTAGTGCAAAAAGAACAAAAGATGTAAAAGATTGTTACTGTACTATTCCATAAGAATTTTAGGAACTTGGATGGTTAGAAAGTTGTTGAAAATTTTGGGTTAAAGATCCGTAGCAGGACAACAACCTTGGATTTTGTTGGATATTTAACCCACCATATAAAGACATAAACTACCAACCTTCCTGGAAGTTGCATTCATGTCTTTTTTTTTTAATTATTTCAACTTTTTTTTCTAAGAAATTTTATTTTAACTTTTTACAATTACATTAATCATCTTCTTCAAGAGATGGTCCAACCCTTTTTCTCTTTTCTTTTTACTTGATAATAATTTATTTTATGAATTATAAGTGTCATGGTTGAAAAAAATGTCAATAGAAAGTTTATATTAGATTCCAGTATCACAAGAGTGGAAAATATTTTCCTTCAAACAATATATTCATAAAAATTTATTTAACGAGTGATTATATATGAAATGGCAAAGTCTTTTCTCGGATTTAACATTTTTATTAAGAGGTAAATTACACCCATGATGACTTAATTATGAGTAAATTTCATTTAGCGAATAGTTGATGTGGTGGTTAAAAAATAGTATAGTTACTGATTTAATAGATTTAATATATTCGGGGTTGATGTGCTAATATGGTTGTTAAAACTTAAATGTGTAATTATACTAATTTTTTTAACAATTATGCCAGTTTCTCTATAGATGTTAATGATTGATGACTTGATTGACAACACTCGTATAGGTAAGTGATTTGATTGATAAGATTCAAAGATTAATGGTCAAAATGAAATTCATTCATAGTTAAGTGGTCATAAATGTAGTTTACCCTTATTAATACGGTGATGCAAGGTGTAGTTGACAAAATAAATAAATATCAAAGGCTTATTTGTTATTAAACTTTTTTCACTCTTAATCTATAATTTTATTTTGGACGTATAAGTTTATTTTTATAGTATTATTTATTTGAATAAAATAATGTTATTTGAATGTCTATAAAATATAAGAATGAAATAAAATAAAAATAATTATAAGAATATCAAATCAATCTTGAGAAAAAAAAAGTTTCTCCGTGGTTTGTTCGATCGGATAAATATGTGTTAAAAAGGGTCTACTTTTTGGTAAATGAGTGTGGTAGGTGGGACTTCTTACAATAAGATGGTCTCCTTTAATCTTGATATGGATGTTGGCTGTGTTCTTTGTGAGAGTGGGTTAAAGTCAAGGGACTGTGTCTTCTTTGGTTGCACTTTTTTGTGAAGTCGTTTGGGCAAAAGTGTTGCAAGTTTGTCATTTGCAGCGTGAGGTGAGAGACTGACGTTGAGAACTAAGGTGGGTTGTTAACTGCCTTAGGAACATGTCTTTCATTGCGATCGTTATGGAAATTGCTTAAAGTTCCTTTATTTATCGTGTGTAGAGGGAGTAAATTGATAACTTTACTAATTGATAGAGTAAAATCTGTCAATTTTTTGTATGGAGTTGAATCTTGTATAAGGGGTATTCTTTTGTTGGTTGTAACTTGTAAGCGGTTTTTTTGTTCTCGGGTAAATAAAACTCATATTTATAAAAGAATTTAATTTAACATTTTAATAATAAAATTACATTTTAGAATTTTAATGAATAAATAAATATAAAAAATACGCAATAAAATTTATACTCTACCTTTATTTCAATCTCAAATCATTTTAAATTTAGTTTTTCTTTGATAAATTTATTAATTTTTTTAATCAAATCTAGTTTAACCTATTTGCGGTCGAATTTTTTAAGGTAAAATTTGAGTTCCTTTATTAGTATTTTATGATGTGGAAAGAAGAGAAAACCCAAAAATTAGTCATATCATCATATCGCATCTCAGCTTCTGATTGTCTGATTTCCATTTCTCTCTTTGTTTTTAATGATCAAAACAAAAGCACATTGCTCACTCCAACACTGCCGCTAAATAACAACCCAATTCTTCTATTTCCTCTCCGATCCTTTTATCGGCTACCACCTCCTCGTTCCATTCGATACTCTCCTTCTTTCCATCAGATCTGTACTCACGTGCTCTGAATCTTACACACGCGCTACCATCTTCACTATGGTAGTCAACGGCTTGCCCACGAAGAGAATGAAGAGGAGAGTAACGGCCGATCTCTACGACTTTCTCACCTTCCCTTCATGTGCCTCCGGATCCAGCTTTTCCACGCCTTTTCGGTCCAATGTCAAGTCGTTTCTGACGAAGCACGCGCTCTTGACGCCTCCGTCGTCGCTTTTCCCCATTTGAGTTTGGATTATTAAATTATATATTTACTGAGCGCCTCGTGTCTTTGATGGTGGATTGTGTTATTTCACCATAACACCCATCCTAGTTGTCTTTTAGTGGTAGGCGATCGTAAATAAGAGTTATTTCAGGGGCTGTTGCTCTACACTTATTATTATTACGACAAATTACTCGTTTAGTTAATTTTTTTATTTAAAATTATATATAACATTTAGTTTATATTTCGTTTTGATATTATTTTGTTAAAAACTTAACGATCATAAGGTAATGTCATATCATTATTAAAAAATATATAAAAAAATGTCATGTTAACGGTTTTGTTAATTTTTTTAAAGATATGATACTAAATTTAAACATAAACTAAATGGTTATATATAATTAAAAAAATATATCAAAATGGAACAAAAGTAATAATTTAATTGTTAAACATATAATTTACCTTATTATTTTTATTTACCTTATCCAATTCTTAGGTATCATAAATAATTGAATTTGAGAATAAAACAACTGAAATATGTTTGAGGAGCCATTTTAATTAGAATAAAATTCTTCAATTCTTAGGATAAATGTAGGAATTGGAGAAATTACACGTGTAATTAATCGTGATGAAATCTCTTTCATTTGTTTTTCAGATAATGAACCTACTAAATTGTTATAATTTATGTGGTGCTCTCAGTAAATTGTGCAATACCTAACTAGCCAAGAATATACAGAAATTATAATTTCTTGTATTACAAGTGGATGCAATTATTATTTAGTAATTAAAGGTACCTAGTTTGGTTTGGTTTGGTTTATTCAAAATTAAGATTTTGGTCTCTTTGATGGAGAGGCAGATGTTTATTGGATGGGTTTGTACGGATGATCAAAACTAGGTTAAAATTGAATTTACTTAAATTAACCAATATGCCTGGTTTGTGTTGGAACAGATGACAAAGATTAGTTGTGACTTTTCCTCGTAGTATGACACATCTTGTATGTTACTGTGAATTTCTTATTGTTATAGCGTCATTAACAAATAAATGAAATTCTTAGAGGCAGAAGTTTGGGGAAACTGTTTTTTTGTAGTGTTGTGCTCCCCATGTTTAGGATGGAGTGGTCATCCAGTATGTTCAAAACGCTACCACTTTAAGGCTGATGGTAATTCCATTGGTGGCTACCCTAAATCGTGTGTCCGCTGAGGAGATGTCCTGCATTTTTCGGAATTAAGGTCTACTCCTTTTCTTGTATTTGTTTCTATGGACTGAAATATATGTTTTCCTATGTCCATTTCTTATGTATATGCATGTTATTTCTTCTATTTGTGAACTGAGATTGTTGGAGTTGTCTACTCCCCAACCTAACTTCATAGCTGGCCCGAACTTTGGCTGTGTCATTGCCCACACATGTGAACTCACTTTAATTGCAGGGGTATGATTGTCACATGTTTTCTTAGGTTATCTTGAATTTGTAGGTCATTAAGCGTCTAATTGACAGTGATCATATCCCTTTCAAGATCAACCTTAGAAAAGTGAAATTTTGCATATTTCCTTTAATGAAAAAAATGTATCTCTTAGCTTGCACGGGAAACATTATATGCCTTGCATGTTGTGTTAACTGGCCAAATTGGCTAAGTGGCTATTATATGCCTTTCATGTTGTGCTGGATTTACATGAGTGATCATGCTAATTTATTTACAAAGTTGTTATGTTATTAATAAGATGTAACTTCATGCGTCATTCATCTATGCAGGTGCAAGTCATGCAGCCATGTAATGATTACTGATGATGTTGAGGATTGGGTGTATCAGCAGTTGGAGGACACCAGTCATCTCTTACATGGTGTAGTCCATTCTAATGGTTATGGTCATCTTCTGAGGGTCAATGGCCGGGAAGGGGGTTCAAGGGTTCTTACAGGATGTCATATCATGGACTTTTGGGATCGACTATGTAAAACCCTTGCTGTCAGGTCAGAAATCCTAGTGCTTTGCTGCCTTTGATCTTTACATGTCCAGTAACTGGCTGCTCTTGTCTTGCAAATTGTATTTTTAAATTTTCTTGGTTGTGTGAGGTGGAGATGTCTCTGCTCTTTGTACGTGTCTGAAAATAATGCAATAAATAGGCTGTTTACGTAGGTTTTGTAAAATGCTTATGTCGAGTTCGATGATTTTATTAAATCTAGTCTATGCTCCGCAAATCCTCCCTTCTCGTTACGAACAGTAAATCTTCAGTGGTGGTTTATTGTATTTTTATCTTTGGTTGCTGCGGTAGTTGTAATAAAATTCCTGGCACTCTTTTCCTCTTTCCGCTATTAGGGTTTCACCTTGGTATGAAGGGGTTTTTAATGAGGCGTTTTCTATAAAAAAAATGTGGTATTTGTCATCAATTGCTAAAAAAATATGTCAAGAAATTCTGACATATTTGATTTTCCTTTTGTAAGTTCTTCTTTGGCCAAAAACATTCAAGTAAAATAAAATCGGGCATGTCAATATCTGCTGATATTTTTCTTTATATGTCGTCCTTATGGGCTTTGTTATGAAATTTATTCTTGGATAAAATTATTATTTTTTTCTCTTCATCTTGTTTATGCCGTTGATCTGTTTGTATATTACTTTGGATGCATTTAGCTGCATGATTGGACTTAGTCATAGTATTGAGTTTAGCTTACTATTTCGTATCATCCCATACAAACAGGAAGGTCAGTGTGATGGATGTTTCAAAAAAGTACTGGTTGGAGTACCGGCTACTTCATGCCATTACCAAAGGCTGTCCATGGTATGGGAATTGGGGTTATGAATTTGGTGCTGGTAGTTTTGCCCTGACATTTGATGCCTATAAATCAGCTGTTGAAACTCTTTCTAGCCTTCCGTTATCCATCTTTCTTCCAGAAGAATTGAAACCCAGCACTTGCTTGCAACACATAATCTCCTTTTACCGGTCTGTAACAAAGAATGAGCTTGTAAATACAAGGGACCTCTTTTGTTTTTTGATGAGGTTGATCCATGATGCTCACAAATCTAACTCTAAGGTTGGGGATACTACCTACAAAAAGACATGTACTTCTTCTGGGGTTTTATCATGAAATAGAGCTGAAGTTGTACGGGTTGGAGAGGCCATGTTTAGAGTGCTTCGGGCAGTTTCTGTGTCCAACTGGGTAAGTTGCCGTGCTCCTAGGCAGGGTGGCTCCTCCAGCACTCCTTGATCATTGCGTCATGGAACTTGGTGGGAAACTGCCAGCGGAAGGAATGGTTGTTAATGCAAGACAGAATCCTGATACAGGTGCTCTCGAGTACAGGTATTATTCAATTCCTGAAGAATTTGTCATAAAATTATTATTAATTCATCATCTGCTATAGAATAACATCTCTTACCGTACGCACTGTAATTAGTAGTTTTGACCCTGTACAGACTCGAGGCTCAAAATATATCCATAACCACCACCTCCAATGATTTTTGTGTTGCTAATTGTCCCCCGTCTGAAGAAATCCTTAAGAAGGACCTTAAATTCTTGTATGAATCCATACTCCAACCTCAAACCATGTTGAGCTACGGACCTGATCTGACAAGAAATCTTGCCATCAGCTCAGCTGAGAAGCTCCTCGATTGCCAGAAATTTGTGAAAGATTACGAGCACGAGAAGCCGACAAGTGGGAATGGAGCTGTAGTTTGCCACTCATGCCAGTTGGAGCTTGTAGATCAATCCGAAGAAATTACCCCCGATCCACCTGCAGAACTAGTAGTGTTACCTGTGTAAATGCCACTGTATCAGACCTCAAGACGGAAGCTTCAAAGGCTTTCCAGGTATTATATTTGGCATTCAGAAGATTCCAAGCCGAAGAGCTGCTTGGATAAAGCAGTGTCGAGGATTCCACCCAAGTCAAGTTCTTGCTGGGATCGACAGGATCAGTTCGAGTTCGAGGGAGATGCCTAGGGAAAACCGGGCTTTATAAATTTAGGGTGGAAAGAGGAATGGAGAGGTGGATGGTGGATTGCATCTGTGGAGCTAAGGATGATGACGGAGAAAGGATGTTGGCTTGCGATGCTTGTGGGGTGTGGCAGCACACAAGATGTTCCGGGATTAATGACTCGACTGCGGTGCCTGCAAAGTTCATTTGCTACAGATGCAGATAGACACACTGCAGACGACTCCCAACAATTGGACAGCTAGTTTTGGAAACTCCTCTTTGATGATAAGTTGTGTTTCTCATGGGAGGTCATATGGGTGCCCTAAATCGATGTGTATATTATAGCAACTGCCTTAAAAGGCATGTAGGCAGTTGTTTCTCTGTCCACTTCTTTTGTTTCCTTTTGCATATATTTAATTTAAGCAATGAAAAAAGAAAATGAAATATATTTGTCAAGTTTATTTAATTTAAGCAATGAAAAACGAAAAATATGTATATAAGCAAGAGATTCTTTTAATGCAGGAGATTTGCCAGAATAACAATTGTAGAGCATATTATTTATGCCATTTCATCTTCTGATCGTGTATCTGTCTATGTACATCTGTACTGAATATAACATATTGTTGTGTTTAATTATATCATAAAAATTATAATGAAAGAAAATTTATTTTAAATTGAACACATATTTCAACCACTCTCTAATAAATATAAAAGAGAAAACAAAATAAAAAAACCAGAAATCAATCCAACGTTATATTAGTGTAATGAACTTGTTATTCTTTATTCCCAGTTGAATGCTACTGAGTTGGAGAGGTGGTTGAGGGAGACACTGCATAAACAATGCGGACACGGTGTTTTAGAAGAACATAAAAGGCCAACTAAACGCTTTCCTCAAATTAAATTATAAAAGTCCAGCATGCCTCCCTTGTGCACCACAGAACATTAATATAAGGTTAATGAGTTGTTTTGGTTGTGGAGAGGAGACAGTACATGAACATTTTCGCCATAATCATGTAGATCTAAATCAACTCCACCTTACTTGTATTTGGTATTTCAACAGGATGAGATTCCTCTTGTCTCCCCCTCAAAGTTGTGATATGTATATTCAGCAGATGATGATGACAGGACAGCAAATAGCTAGACTGAGTTGAAACAAGGAAATGGCTACCTCTCCTTTGAATGTCCAGCCTTCTTTCCATTCTCGCTCTAACAGTTCGCCTTCAATGCAAAACTCCATTGCTTCAAATATCGATGAAAATCTGAGCCGACTAAGGGAATCTCAGTTGGCCTCTACATTGTCGTCATCGATAGGACATCAGCTCGACTGTCTTGAAGATTTGTATGACTCTGTTGATATGTTGCTTCAATTGCCCCTTTCTCAACAAGCTCTAGCTCAAGAGAATCAACGGAAATTGGCTGAACAACTTTTGGATGGATCTCTCATGCTCCTTGATGTATGTGAAACCGCTAAAGATGCCTTGTTGCAAACAAAGGAATGCACACAAGAACTTGGATCGATTTTGCGCCGAAGATGAGGAGTTGAAGGGCTTGCTAATGAGCTTAGGAAACACTTAACCTCAAGGCCTTGAAGAACTTGAAGCATATGGAGAATAAACTTGGCAGCTCTTCCTTCAACAAGGATGGTAAGAGCAGAGCCGTGATTAACACCTTAAAACAAGTAGAAGCAGTAACTGTCAGCGTGCTAGAGTCCTTGTTGTCCTTTATTTCAGGGCCAGAGCCTCAATTGAAATCAAGCCGATGGTCACTAGTTTCCAAGTTCATGAACCAGAAAAGTGTCATGTGCGAGGAAGAAGAACAAAAGGCAAATGAAATTGTGAATGCTGAAGCTACATTGCGTTCCTTGATTAAATCAGGAAACATGAAGCATGTTGGGAATGTTCAAAATGTGCTCCAAAACTCAGAGATGTGCATCCAAGATCTCGATGAAGGTCTTGAAAGCTTCTTCAGGAGGTTGATCAAAGCTAGAGTCACTGTTCTCAACAGCCTCAACTGTTGAAATCTTTTGCCTTCTAATTGTACATAAAAGTATAATTTACATGTACACAATTTTTAGAACAAAAAAAATTACAGTCTTATTTCCACATATTCTCTCTTTTTCTTACCTTTCATAGTTTTTATTATTGATGGTTTAGCATGATAAATCTTAAATTATTTAATTTTATATTATATCAGATTTTAATAACGGTTCTATCAAATAATGCTTACAGCTTAATAATCCTGCATTGATCATAATTAAAATCCAGCCATTTTGTTTCTGTAAGTTGGCAAAATATATAGAAGTTGAGCGTGCCTGCCTCCTGCATGGCAAGAAATTCAGGACATTATTAAAGAACTCAAATGATTAAACAATAATAACTGCATAAAGTAGTTTCAGATGCGGACCCATTGTTTCCAAATAATTGAGGCTAACATTATAAAACTAGCCACTGTCTGTGGAAGCAATTTTAAAACCACCCGTGCATAGTTCATTATATAGAATTGTTATTGATGACTAGAACCGTGTTATGCATGATATTGTTTGTGGTAATACATTTGTAGACAAAATTGACACTTATGATGTTCTTATCGATAAAGAATAAATCTAAGCTTAAACACAAGACTTCAATTCGGTTGACAATCATTATAAAAGAACACCTCTCCTTTCAATGCAATTGTTTTGTTTCTTCTCCTTTTGTTCCACGTGTACTTTCGTCGTTCGGTATCTTAATGAAACGAATAACTAAATAATAACAGTCTCACGTTAACATTAAAGTTCCAAATCTAGGATAACTTCTTGTTGTAGTCATCTGCAAGTTTCTTGTTTACATAGTTTTATCCGCTGGCTTTAGTCCACAAGACAAAGTTTAGTACACCATGTGGTTTAGTCAAGTTTGTTGAATATATGGTTCAGTTTTCTTTCTTTTCAAGTTACAGCATCAACGCATGAATTCCATACTAATAAGGACATGACAAATTTCACTCTTGGAATTCCCTGTTGTTGTTGACTAACATCGAAACAATTTGGAACCAAGTTGTAAACTTAGATTCCAGTACTCGAAATTACATGCTTCAGCTTTGAAATTACCAACACAAGGCCGGCATAGCTTGGAGTTATTCTTCCTCCTGTATAATTTACAGACTAATGTCCTTCTCCTCATTAGTACTAGCAATCATACACGAATCGACTCATTTTTTCCCCTCTTTTCTCTTAAGATTTTCATCCGCAACACGCATGGAAGCCAGCATGATTACCTCAAAGAAGCTTATCAGAACGACAAGCAAGTGGCAGAGGGTAGCAGACATTGGAAGTAAAAGAATTGCAGCAGCAAGGACTAATAAAAATAGAGCTGCTGCAGATCATTCTAATAAGCCATCAGTAGTTGATAAAGGATGCTTTGTTGTCTACACAGCGGATAAGAGACGATTCGTGATCCCGTTGGCGTTTCTCAGCAGCTGCATTTTCAGTGAACTCTTCAAGATGTCTGAAGAGGAGTTTGGATTGCCCAGTGATGGGCCTATAACATTGCCATGTGATTCGGTGCTCATGAAATACATCGTCTCCCTTGTGAAACGAGGATTGGCTCAGGATATGGAGAGAGCAGTGCTCAATTCCATTACTGCCTATCGTTGTACATCTTCAGATACTTGAATCAAGTACATGCAGATCAACAGTCAATTGTTTGTGGATTATAATTAAATTGGCTCTGAATCGTGAAAATGATTATGCCATACAAAAACTTCTCTTTCTAGCTGTAAATTATTCAAATGTATCATGGTGTATTAACAAAAGATTGTTCCTTGGGAAATGATTTTGAGCAAGATATGGGTAATGAGTTGTTTTGATGGCGGAGAGTAGACCGAACACGAACTTTTTGCAACAATCATGTAGATCTAAATCAAGTCCACGTTATATTTAAAGAGGATGAGATTCCTCCTGTCTGCCCTCAAGCTGTGATATATATATGTTCAGCAGATGGTAATGGGAAGACAGCAAATAGCTAGAGTGACTTGAAAAACAATTGAAAGGCCTTCTTTCTTCTAAAACAAACCAAATGGCTACCTCTCATTTGAATGTCCAACCTTCTTTCCATGCTCGTTCTAACAGCTTGCCTTCAAGGAAACACCCCATCACTTCACAAATCGATGAAAATCTGAACCGACTAAGGGTATCTCAGTCGGCCTCCACATCGTCATCAGTAGTACATCAGCTCAACTGTCTTCAAGATTTGTATGACTCTGTTGATATGTTTCTTCAATTGCCTCTCTCTCAACAAGCTCTAGCTCAAGAGGAGCAAAGGAAATTGGTCGAACAACTTTTGGATGGATCTCTTAGGCTCCTGGATGTATGTGGAACTGCTAAAGATGCCTTGTTGCAAACAAAGGAATGCACACGAGAACTTCAATCGATTTTGCGTCGAAGACGTGGTGTCGAAGGGATTGCTAACGAGATTAGGAAATACTTAACCTCTAGGAAGGCAGCAAGAAAGGAAATCTGCCAAGGCCTTAAAGAACTTGAAGCATATGGAGAACAAACCTAGCAGCTCTTCCTTCAGCAATGATGACGAGACCGCAGCCGTGATTAGCACCTTAAAACAAGTGGAAGCAGTAACCATCAGAGTGTTAGAATCCTTGTTGTCCTTCATTTCAGGTCCAAAGGCTGAATTGAAATCGAGCTGATGGTCCCTAGTTTCAAAGTTCATGCACCAGAAAAGAGTAACGTGCGAGGAAGAACAAAAAACAAATGAAATCACGAAATCCGAAGCTACATTGTGTTCTTTGATTAAATCAGGAAACATGAAACATATTGAGAATGTGCAAAATAAGCTCCAAAAATCAGAGATGTGCATCGAAGATCTCGATGAAGGTCTTTGATGAGTGTTCAGAATAGTTAATTTTTGTTCGTTATTTCTTCGATTTTGTGGAATTATTGTTGTTGATTTGGTTGTGTTATGTCTATTTTCGTGCATGTCATTACTTTCCAGAATTTGTGACAAAACAGGCTAATTCTGCATTTTTTATTATTATTTGGTCACGCTGGAGATATGGCACGACTCTGGGCAAGACGCGGTCTGACGTGACAGTTTCTAGAAGGTCCAGTCAGCGGCGGTTTCTAGAAGACTTCATCCGCACGCCTTCTGGAAGATTGACGAGTAGAGTTGCATTAGGAGATAATTTAAGTTTGAATTTAAATTTAAAAACAATTATCTTTTGTATTATTTTATTATTTTCTTTGTTTATCCTTTAGGCTTTGAGAGGCTATAAATACCCACTTGGGGTAAGCCTAAACTCATCATTCAAATTACATTTTTCTTTTCTCTCTAGTTTTCTTTTTTTACTTTTCAAGTTTTTCCATTTTTTCTTTTATTTTCAAGTTTTGTTTTCAAAATACTAAGTATGACTTTTGTCATGCTTAGTTAAACTTTTCAAAAGCCGAGAGCTGTCGCGATGATTCAATTCCAACGGGAGAATTGAAACGATCTCTTAATATCTTCGGAATATCTCACTCAATCTCTGTACTTATTTTTTAAAATCAAAACAGTTTTCAAAATCAAAGATTGACTTTGGTCAAGAGGTTGTTGCGATTAAACGTGTGAGAGGAAGATTCAGCTTATAGAAAGCAATTCGACTTCCTGGGAACACAATTGGCGAGATAGCTTCGCCAAGAGGGAATTGAGATCGGAATTGACGGTTATCGAAGCAACAATCTGAGTCGGTCGCCACGAACTTAAACGGTAATTGATCTACGACAATTGATGTTGATAGAATCAATTCCCGAAGCCGGAATCAAAGATCGCCTTGGGTATTCGGTATACAAGATAGAGTCACGAGGATAACCCTTGTAGACAAAGTAACCGATGTGAATCCCGAAGAGAAAATCTTATTCGATGATTTAAAGGAAATTGAATCAAAGCGAAGCTTGAGGTGATTTTTACCGTATTTATTCACAATATTCATCATCTTATTTTTACTTTAATTGCTTTAATTTATTTAATCGTTTTTACTATTTAAATCTCATATTACAAACCCCTCATTTTACTATTTTTCGACTGGTTAAAAACCATTCAAACATAAATTTGTGATTTTCTAAGTCCTTGAGGATTCGACCCTTATTTCTCTATACTACATATTTCCTTATTTATTAATTGAGAAAAAGGAATTTGTTTTGACACCGAAACGACAGTTGTCAAATTGGTGTCGTTGCCGGGGACTTCGCCAAAGTTACTAATTTTTATTTGCTTTTGATTTATGACCAGGACTAATCCGGGCACATTAGTGGAGTACGACCCGTAGATCGAAGCTAAAGCTAGGAGACTCCACGCACAGACACTTCGGGAAAGAAAGAGACAACAAACAAACCTAGAAGAAGAATCAAATTCAGGTAATACAAATCCGATGGCCGAACTTACTATTCGGGAGTTAGCCGCGGTACCCACTGAACAAGGACCTATGTGCATTGATTTTCCCCAAGGTGAAACTCCATACCAGTTGAAAACTGGCCTTATTCATCTCCTCCCTACATTCTGTGGATTGCCAAACGAGGATCCACACAAACATCTCAAGGAATTTCACATGGTCTGCTCTAGCATGAGACCACAAGGAGTAACCGAGGACCAAATAAAACTTAGAGTTTTTCCTTTTTCCTTAGCCGGTTCGGCTAAAGAGTGGTTATTTTATCTTCCTCCTAATTCTGTTACTACATGGGCTCAAATGACTCGTCTTTTTTTTACAGGTTTTTCCCTGCGGCAAAAGTAAGTGAATTAGGAAGGAGAATACTTGGAATCAAGCAGCTTGATGGAGAGTCACTTTACGACTACAGGGAGCGGTTTAAGAAGTTATGTTCTAGTTACCCACAACATGGGTTAACCGAACAAACACTCCTTCAATACTTTTATGAAGGATTATCTCCCCTGGAAATGAAGATGATCGATGCTGCCAGCGGTGGAGCCTTGGTGAATATGACTCCTACTAAGGCTAGAGACTTAATATTGATGATGACCACAAATTCCCAACAGTTCCGCACAAATAATGAACCTTCTCGAAGGGTTCATGAGATACGTTCATCTTCCTTGGAAAATAAAATAGATAAGTTAACTGAAGTTATAAACCCTCTTGTTGTAGGAAAGACATGACAAAATCGATTATGTGGAATATGTGCATTATCTGATCATCCGATAGACGGTTGTCCACTAATTCAAGATGATGCAGCAGCTCAAGTCAATGTAGTCGAAAAATTTTCGACATATAACCCAGGATGAAGGGATCATCCGAATTTTAGTTATGCTCAAATCTCAAGAACAAATCAAAGCTATCAATCGAGACCACCTCCACCACAACAACAGTCGCAGAAGACATCACTAGAATCAATTGTCGAGAGGTTAGCGCTTTCGCAGGAAAAGTTTCAGAATCGCACCGAAGCCCACCTACAAGAGTTAGACAAGCAGATGAGCCAACTAGCTCAAACCGTAAGCAGCATGGAATCACAAGGTAAACTCTCATCTCAAACTAAAGTAAACCCGAGGGAAAACGTCAGTGCCATCACTCTTCGGAGTGGTACAGTAGTGGCGCCACCTATTCCATCAGACCAAGCAGTCCAAAAAGAGAAGAAGACTGATGACGCATGATCCTAGAAAGAGAATGATGAAGAACAAATGGACGATCCGACGCCATCTCCATATGACGTGTCACCATATTTTTCATCGAGGTTAGTCAAAAAGGATAAAAAGCCGAGGAAAATGAAATATTAGACGTACTTCGGAAGGTGGAAGTTAATATACCTCTCCTTGAGGTTATCCAGAAAGTTCCAAGGTATTTCCAGTTTTTGAAGGATCTCTGTATGACTAAAAGGAAGCTTACCGGTGTAACACCCCCAACCCGTATCCGACCAGGATACGAGTCCGAAGTGTCACATTGACTTTTCAAAAATTTATTCGTATAAAATAGTGAGTAATTTAAAAACTTTTATAACATTTAAATTATTCAAAACATTTACAAAATTATTCAGAGCTTATACAATATATTCTTTTGATTACATGCCAACTAGAACTTTATATACAAAAGTACATATTATTCACCTCTCTTCTGATCAGACATTCGGTAAGGAGAACTGACTTGTCTTGTTCCTCTTTACTTTTCTTTTCGCTTTCCAAACCTACGTGCGAAACAATCACATGTTAAGTCGATGACTTAGTGAGGCATATAAAACATATAATATTTCATATAACATAAAGCATATATAAACATATACCATCATTATCATAATCTCTATCATTATCATTAAGAAACACACATAACATCATATGGTTAATGTAACACATTTCAAACCACTTACCTTTGATAACCATTTATAAACCCATCGTATACATATCACATTCAGTATGCTTGTTTAATCACTTTATTATCCCATGTACACTAGTGAGAACTTAAGGTATGTGAGTACATTGAGGTTGTGCACACATATGCTGTCACCACAGCTCAATCAATGTCCCGAAGGACCAGTCCATAGATTCTGAAGAACCTAGGTAATCAGTCCATATGTCCCGAAGAACATAGGTAAACAATCCATATGTCCCGAAGAACATAGGTAAACAATCTATATGTCCCAAAGAACATAGGTAAACAGTCCATATGTCCCGAAGAACATAGGTAAACAGTCCATATGTCCCGAAGAACATAGGTAAACCCTCGACCCTTGGCATGCCAACTATACCCTAGCTCTCATATCACATAACATGGGCATTATCATTTAACAATTCACATTACTTGTCATTTCTCTTCTGTCACATACCACATGTATGTGTAACCATGTATTCCATATCATATCACATGTTCATATAAGCTCATAGCTTCTTTCACATATACATGTAATCACTTAGTCTATTTTCATGTAATTCTTTTCACTTCTCATAAGATTTTATATTCATATCTCACTTAGCTCATATCGCCTTGCATTGTTTCATATAAACATAGATGTCATATCTTGTTCGCATATATTTTCTATATAACTCATATATCTCATAGTTCTTTCACATAGCTCACTATCATATTTTCATATCATATATCTTATAATAGATTCTTATATCATCATTTGTTTCCTTTCTACCTATTCATAATCACATAACATATACAAAGCATATCATTATCTTTAGTCATGCATACATACAATCAATGTAATACAGATAATCACATATAATTATAACAACACATAATCATGTCCATGACTTCATGCATATTACTCTAGGAAATAAACTCATCGCAAGTCTTATTTCCATTAAACACTACATATCACTAGTATGCACTCACCTTGGCCTCACTAGTCAATTCCAATCTTTTATCTTTCCCTTGATCGATCTTACTTGCCAAATGTTCAGAAATTGCTTTACGCGCAGAATCTACATAAATGTACATTTTGAGGCAATCATTAGATACCTACACCTTGTAATTGGATACTAGCAACTTAAACGAACTTATTAAACCAATATTCACATTTTTCCTTTAGGGGGAATCGGTTCCCTACTAAGGGGGTATCGATTCCCTCATG